CAGGCTGGAATGCAGTGGCGGATCTCGGCTCACTGTAACCTCTGCCTTCCAGGTTCAAGCGATTCTCCTGCCTCTGCCTCCTGAGTGGCTGGGATTACAGGTGCATGCCACCATGCCCAGCTAATTTTTGCATTATTAGTAGAGACGGGGTTTGACATATTGGTCAGGCTGATCTCAAACTCCTGATCTCGTGATCCACCCACCTCCGCCTAACAAAGTGCTGGGATTACAGGCGTGAGCCACTGCACCCGGCCTAAATTTTTAACAAGAACAAAGAAAGAGGACTTACACTATCAGATTGCTCCCCTCGCCTCCCCTCCTCTCATCTCCCCGCATTGCTCCCCTCCTGTTTCCTTCCCTTCTCTCCCCTCCCCCCAAATAATTGGGACTCCTAGCAGAAGGGTTACCCCAGTTAAAACCTACTCAACCCAGAAGAATGAGACAAACCAAGGGAGATGCCAATGAAAAACCAGTGGCTATCAGGCATGGAGATGGCAGCCAGCCACTCATACCCAACGACAGGCCACCCTGGAAAACTCCCCTATAGGGTTTCCAAGGATGACATCTTGTTCTCCCCCTTGGGTTCGTCCCACTCTTGAAACAACATAAAACTTTAGAACCTAAAGAATACCCTCATACCTTCCCCTACCTTTTCTTCTTTTCTTTTCGAGACAGAGTCTCGCTCTGTCACCCAGGCTGGAGTGCAGTGGCATGATCACAGCTCACTGCAGCCTCGACCTCTTGGGCTCAGGCAATCCTCTCACCCCAGCTTCTTGAGTAACTGAGACTACAGGCGCACGCCACCAGACCCGGCTAATTTTTAAATTTTTTGCAGAGACGGGGTCTTCCTATGTTGCCCAGGCTGAGAAATTGTTTATGACTGTGGGTTATGCACAGATTTCTCAGTTGTAACACCAAAAGCATGATCCATTAAAAAAAAGGTGATAAGGAACTTAATCAAACTTTAAAAGGTCTGCACCTAAAAACACATCATTAAGAAAATAATTAGGCCGGACGAGGTGACTCACGCCTGTGATCCCAGCACTTTGGGAGGCCGAGGCGGGCAGATCACCTGAGGTTGGGAGTTCGAGGCCAGTCTGGCCAACATGGTGAAACCCCGTCTCTACTAATAATACAAAAAGTAGCCGGGCGTAGTGGCACGCGCCTGTAATCCCAGCTACTCTGGAGGCTGAGGCGAGAGACTCGCTTGAACCTGGGAGGCGGAGGTTGCGGTGAGCCGAGATTGCGTCACCTGACTCCAACCTGGGCGACAGAGCAAGACTCCGGTCACGACTTGGAGGAGAGAGGGGAGGGAAGGTGAGGGGAGAGAGGAGGAGGGAGAGGAGGAGGGAGAGGAGGGAGAGGAGGGAGAGGAGGAGGGAGAGGGAGAGGGAGAGGGAGAGG